AAGGTAGAGGTTAGACCACAGGAGAACAGAGGTCCTTGGCCACTTTGGGCACACAAATACTGAAGGCACTCTAGTAGCAAAATGAACAAGTATTGCTGTTGAATGTTTCTTTTTTTAAAATAAAGCTATGTGAGATTACTTCTTGAAGCAACCTGAAACTACAGAGTGTGGTTATTTATCTTCTTTCTAAAAAGAGATCTGGATGCTCATGAGTTGGCTTCCATCCTCACTCTAAGCAAAATCGTTCCAGAGTCAGTATTGCTTAATGGTTTTTATTACACACCATTGTGACCTTTAGTGGCTCACTGGATTCTCTGGCAAACTGGAACGCAGGCTGTGTGCTGGATGCCAGCTTGGTTGTGACTCTTCCAAAGAAGCCCTGTCCTCAGGAATAGACCATCCCTGCTCACGTTGGCATCCTGTCAAACGCGTGAGCTGTGGTAGCAGCTGTACAGATCACAAGTTGTGGAATGTGCATTTGTGTCTTTGGTAACAGAAGCTTATACCAGGGATTGTCATCAGCATTATTCTTTATGTTCCTTTTTACAAGGAAATCCGGGGTAGAAATAGATTGTTTAAAGGGCATCTTCTCTGCTTCTGCTCTTGACTGCCTGCAAGATCTCTGTGGACAGAGTGTTTTGCTTGTACATGATGGTTTTCATATCAAACTTGATTCCTGAATGCAGCTTTTAAGTCCAAACTTCCACATTTCTGAAGCGCAGCTGACAGTTGTTTCTTCCATAAAATATTTGGTATTCAGTGTGAAACTTTGAGGACTCATTTGTGGGTTGTGTTTTGTCCCTCTCAGCAGGTGAGGAAGAGCAGTTTGACATGGACATCTAAAGCATGTGCCCTGAGAGTGCTGATCCAGTGAAGAACCAGGACTTTGTCTTGAGGATTCCCACCAGCCAGGCTTAAAAGTAGCCCATGCCTTGAGTGCCTTCCTGCTTCCTGGGAACGGCAGTTTCTTCCCTTCCGAGAGCAGAGTGTGTCCTGTTGCAAGGACTGAGCCTCAGCCTCTCCGTGTGGGTGCCAATACACAAGTGCAGCCCCTGATGATGATGATGATGGGCCTTGGAGTGCCGGAGGAGACACTCTCAATGATTGTTTTTGTTTCCAGTTTTATGCTTTTGTTAATCATTTTAATACTGTAAAAGTTACAGAAATGCAATACAAGGGAGAAATAAAATCATTTTGAGTCTCCTGGTATGGAGATTACTGCAATAAATGTGGCTCCTGTCCTTTATTTGTTCCAGCAAGCAACGAGGAATCTGTTGCAGAAGAATCACAGAATGGTTTGGGTTGGAAGGGACCTCAGATCATCCAATCCCAACCCCCCTGCCATGGGCAGGGTCACCTTCTGCTACACCAGGTTGCTCAAAGCCTCATCTATCCTGGTCTTGAACACTTCCAGGGATGGGGCAGCCACAGCTTCTCTGGGCAACCTGTTCCAGTGCCTCAGCACCCTCATGGAGAAGAATTCCTTCCTTAGATCTCATTGAAAACTCCCCTCTTTCAGTTTAAAGCTGTTGCCCTGTGTCCTGTCACTACACCCCCTTGTCCAAAGCCCCTCTTCAGCTTTCCTGTAGCCCCTTTAGGTGCTGGAAGGTCTCCCCAGAGCCTTCTCTTCTCCAGGCTGAACAGCCCCAACTCTCTCAGCCTTTCCTCATAGGAGAGGTGCTCCAGCCCTTGCATCATCTTTGTGGCCTCCTTTGGTGCTGTGCACAGCCTTCAGATGAACACTGTGCTCCTGCGTTTCCCCTGGAATCAGTGGCTGAGATGCCCTGAGCCCTCTTGCCAGAACATCTGTGTGTGCCCCATGTCCCACGCCTGGTCACTGCAGGAAGTTTCAGTGTGCTCCAAAATAGTTTGCAGTCCCCTGCGTGTTTCCAGACGGTTCTTGTGCAAGGTCGTGGTGCAGGTGTTGGGGCTCCTTCTCTCGCCCACCCTGACAAGGGGCCGGGTGGCAGGTGGAAGCAGCCGAAATGGGTTC